CATAAATATTTGTTTAGTGCTTATTCTAATCTTCTTTCATTTTACATATTGCAAACTAATTGTATAATATTTAACTTTAATCTCCCATAAAACACTTTAATTCCCCAACTTGCAACAAATTACAGGATATGAAACAATTCTCTACTCTCAATTTAAATTCAATTCAAGCGAAGCAAATCACTTTAATTGCCTGAAATTTACATTAAAGTTCATTAAAGTTTTATGAGTTACTCACTTTCCTTTGTGCAAATATTTAAATACAAATGTTTCTGGCGACGCACATACGGAGAGACACATGTATGCATATGTCCGTGTGCCTATTAAATTTTCACGTACACAAAGTTTTTGTAGACACATTTTAGTTGCAAGAAGATTGCGGCCACATCATCAATAATTCAATGTGAGAATAAGGCGCCGTTGAAGACACTTGTGTGTATATTGGCCTGCGGCATGAGCGTGGCTAAGTTAACATATATATGTATGTATGTATGCAGTCGTATACAGCTTGACAATGAAAGCAGACTTTTTTTTTTGATGACTCGCCGCTGCCATGGACACATGTTAATTATGATGGCTTTTATTTGGGGTCTTATGAGTGTATGACAGAGAAGAAAGCGAGGAAAGCAAAATTGAAAACCAGACCTTTGGGGCAGGCGTTAGGATATATGTGTCCGACATAAATAAAATATTATGATTTATTTAATTAAACAATTAAAGAAAGGTTTAAAAAATTATTTTGCTATGCAAAGCTTTCACTTGGGAAATCTTAAAATAACTTAAGGGGCACACCTAGTGTAATGGCCTGAAAAATTGGTATTTTTGGGAATTTTTATTCACAAAAAATACTTTATCAATTTTTTCAAAGTTTTAAGAAAAAATATATAAATGTTTCAAGAATATACAGTAAAATTTTTGAAGAAAAAAATTAAATATTTTTTAAGTTACAGTCGATCTTTAACGGCCCATAATAGAGGTCCTTCACTGCTGCAGTGATTCCGGCATTCTCCGCATTCTTATCCCAATCCGCCCATGTGTGCCTGGTTTTGTGGCAATTTGTGATGGCAGTCCACCCTTTAGTGGCCTTCACCTTTATGAATTCCTTGAAAAGAAGTTTGCATATAGTAAAAGGCAAACCAATGCGTTCTTTATCGGAATGAATCTGCTTTTTCGTACCCCGCCTAGCAAGTTCACCAGCATTACAGTTTCCCTCGATATCCCTGTGACCAGGGACCCATATGAGGAACAGTCTGTTCATCAGGATACAAAACCACAAACTGGAGAAGGAGCTCGGCCGAAAATAGCTTCAGCGGTTATAAAGCATCAAGCTTGAAATTCGTATTCTAAAGTGGTTATCAGTTACTAAACCTAACCCAACCTTCGCAAACAATTGAATCAGTAAATAAACTTGACTCTCTTCGAGTGCATCCGTGTCTTATCTCCATCATCTTGCTACAAATTTTTACAATTTGCCTGCCTTCCTTTGCTTTTGCCCACAAGGATACGCCAAGACAAGCTCAGTCTGACGAAAGCAGTTCAGCAGACAAATGCTGTTTTATATAACCGCTTCAAGTAATATTTCCCGTTAAGTGCTACATGTGCACACTACAGAAGCCTCAGCTGTTGGCTAACCTTTCTCATACAAAAAATGCCTTTAACATTTGGTCTGCTTCTGCTGGATGCTACGAGCTACGTCACAGCCACTCAAGCACAAAGCCCAAGGTCATCGAAACACTTAATTCAATTGAGGTCGTTGTTGTTGGTTATTGTTGTTGCAGTCACTAAAAAACTACTTAATTATGTTGCCAAAAACATCATATATGCCAACAGGCGCAAGCATGTACATATGTATGTATATACACCACTTCGCTTAGTTGCCAACAAACTCTTCCACTCGTTTTTGTAATTTGTAGGCGTTACGCTTATTAGCCAAAGCCAACGGCTGTAGACTACATCAGTAGGTGTAGTGGTGGTAGTAGTTGTAGAACCCACGTCAGCGACACAAGCAGCTGCCGTCACATGTTCTACTTTTCGGTGCTTGTCATTCACTCTTCGAGGATCCACTCAAATTGCATGATATCCTCGAAAATATCTGCAATGGAGTGGCTCTTACATTGCTTTGCCGGCTCTTCTCATTCAGCGACCAAGCTTGTGCTTGTTACTGTCTAGCTGGCTTGACGAAAAGCGTTAATATTGTCTCTATTGTGTTCATATATATATAGCAGTTTTTTGTGTGTTTGTGTGTCAACAAGATGGTTGGTTTTCTATTATACAGAATTATACAGAACATAACGGGTGATTACTCGAGCCATCTTTGTGTCGAGTGCCCAATTGTATGCTGTTAACCTTAAGCCATCCATAAGCTTGGCGTACTTAGTTTGACAAATCGTTTGCTGGGGGGTTTTTAATTATGTTTATCCATCCATATGCTAGATATTTAATTAATTAAATTTTCAAATAGCCACATGCTGTTAAAATTTCATTAACTGCGGCTTCGTAAATGAGCTTTGTCCGGCTTTGGTTTGACTTATTAAATTGAAATGTGCTGGGATAGCTGAGCTGTGAGCGAGTAGAAGGCTTGAATATAAAATATTTAATTACAGCATTAATTTCAAATCATTATATTTATAACTTTTTGGACAGAAATTTTTTTTCTTTCAAGAGAGAGAAAACTGTAAAGTTGATCCTGCCAAAATCCAGTTTGTATGTCCAGAGTCATTAAGGATCAGCTAAATTTGAATTTATTAAATGATGTGAATGCCAACACCTCCGAGGGTGAATTAACGAAAAGCCGTATGTAGTCGATTAAAAAATATGAAGCCACACATACGCTGATTTTTTACTTTAGGACGAAAAGCTCGCCTGAAACTTGCTTCAGCACTTTCATCAGGCCTAATAGATTGCATAAAGATAATTAAAAAAAAAAGTCATTTATTATAGTGGTATGTGATCCTTGACATGCTGAAGGTAATAACTCATCAGGCTACGTTCAAGTTTTTTCTGTTTGCTCTCTTAATTGAATTCTTTTATACCACGGGTTCAATGAAGACGTGCGAAAGGCAAACGAACATGAATGAGTTGGGTTAGTCATGCATCATTTTCCTTTAAATAGACTCCATTGATGCCTCCACCACTTGAAAACCTTTACTCAAAGAATTTAAGGAAAAAAGATTCAATATTTGATAGCAAGTAAACGAGACCACATTTTATATTATAAAAGACGTTACTTGTTCTCAAAACATATAGACATTATCTTTGTAGAAAAGGTTCTGAGGAGAAAAAGTTAAGCAGCCACACTATTCTGCTCAGGTCTCCAAAGGTTGTTCTCCTAGTCCCCCTAATCCCTCAAAGTTCTGAACATTCGCAAAGAAAGCGTCTTAAAATTTAAGTAGGTTCTTCCTCTCTGCGTACCATCCCAATCGTCCCAATTAGATATGCACTGTTAAATGACCGGTAAATGCAGATATCTCCTTTCTTTTCAGCTCGATAAAGCCACGTGGCCTTTAACTGTTCCACTCTGGTCATATTGTCCTGGCCACAATACAAAAGTTGAAACCTCATTATCTTAAGTCAGCACCTTCAATGAATTGGTCTCTTATATTTCGCTTACAAGCGCAGAACGGTATGCCCAAACTCTTTCTTGATTGCGAAAGAGGAAGGGAAGTGTATTCTTTGAAAGATTTTAATTAATCGGAACAACTTTAGGCGAAACATAAATGAGCGAACCGAAGCGACATGTCTAAACTGATGATGAAAGTGGCAGAGAAGTGGTCTTTCTCGTAAGCTCGTCCGTCATCTTATTACCCGGTATGTTACTGTGACCCCAGACCAATACCAAACTCAGAGAAAACTGCTTAGCCATCCCGTTACCGCATATCACGGTCATGGGTGGCCGCCAATTCTGCCTGAAAAACCCTACAGCGTTTCGGTAAGGGAAAGGACTTATAAATGTCAAGTTCCTTTAAGTATACTCCGCCACTCACGCTGTTGCTTAGTTTTGTCTTATCCGTGTAAAAATGAATCGAGTTAACACTTTCTGTGCTTGTCTAGTCTCAAACGTTTCTATCCAACATTACTACATTGAAGTCTGTCCTAAAGTCAGTGAATGATATGCAGTAATCTGTTTTGTGGTAAGATGCTAGATAGACCTTGGCATAATGATACATTCAGACACCATTTGCAGTCTTATCGCGACGAAAGCAGCATTGTGCAGAGTCAATGGAGAGTAGATACAATAGAACACTCGTTGCCTCAGTTGGGGTAGTACGAAGTGCTTCGCTTATGAATAAGAGTGCTCTGTCGAATTTGGAGATATCAGACTACAATACCGCAGAGAAGTATGGGCCCAACAACTCTGATATAAAGTCAACGCCCTATTTTGGGTGGCATCCCACATTTCCAACCTATCGCTCCTTTGTTGGCATAGAGAGCATGCATTTCTCTGAGCTCTTTAGCCAGCTTAATTTCCTGCCCGGGATGAGTGCCAGGTATTTTCGAGATTCAACAATGCTCAGGTTCGTACCTGAAAGATTTCGGCTTCAAATAATTTTCCGTCAAAATTTTCATACTAAATAAAAATCTTACCATTCTCTTGGGTATTATTTACAACTTTTAGGAGTCAAATTACTTTTCATCGCACTGGGAATTTACTAATAAAACCAAATTCTTGGGAATCGCTTTAAACAGTCACTCCTTTTGTTTATTAAAAGAAATTATCAAAGAATTACCCCAAGGGTTTACAACGAATTTTTGGCTTGTGATTTCCAGAATTAAAGATTTTAATCAGCTGTAAGGACTGTTTTCTTAATATTAAATTCGAATTTCCAAAAATAAATAACTAAATACCAGATTATATATAAAAAGTTTCTAGTTCATATTTCCCACTCCATTAATTCAAGACAAATACTTCCAAATTGACTTACCTTTAACGGCGCTTAGTTGGTTGCCAACCATTTGTTTCGCAATGAATGCTGCCATTTTGCTTCTCTTTTACTTCTTTCTTCTACTTTACTTTCTTTTTATTTCGTTTTTCGTATTTCCTTCCTCTGCTACTTCACCTGGTTGCTTGTTGAGATTCCTAATTTATTGACCTAAAAAGATTACTTCTCATGCGCTACTTCCAATGTTGTACTACTACTTTGTTGTTTTTGTTCCTTTTGTTGTCGTATTATTTCGTAGTTAAATTTGTTTACAATATCTGCTCACGAACGATTCGCGTTGATGTCACTCAGTGAGAGGCTGCAAAGGAAATGGAAAAGAAAAAATTATATTTTTCATGAAATTAATGGTGAAAAATGGTCTAAAATATCTGCCTTATTTCAATGAATAATTATTTCGAAAAGCAAATATATTGTGAAATAATTATAAATATATTATTATATGAACTTGAAAAATTAAATATAAAAATTTTAATTGTTTTTTGAACAAAAGTCCTTTCAATTTTCTGCTATACATCCAACTTTTTGTTCCATTTCATGTCTTCCATATTGAAAATATTTTGAAAACTACTTGTTTAGAGAGATTTCGCTTTTAGTCAGGCAGAATAAGAAACAAAATTTGTAAACTAGAGAATTGGCAAACTCTCATGTCATACCAAGCTTCCTGAAGGATTTGCGCACCAATTCGATTGTTTGCTTTCTAAGATTTTCTTGCACTCACGTCGAGTAAAATTGCTTTCAGTCACACATGAACGATCTTGGATACATGTTTATATACAATAAGAGAAAAAACGTTTGATTGCAACTCTTCTCAATATCTGTGACATGACTTTCAAATTTGCTCAAAAACAAAATAGATCAAAGCAGACACTATTGCATTTAACTAATCCATACATACATTTTTGTCTGTATACCATATAAAATCAATAAATCGAATATACAATTGTTTTGATACATGCGACTATGTATGTGTGCGGCTAAAGTGGGAATTATGTAGTTGACGAGATGAACAGAGTTAAATCATGTCAGTTGGGATTTTGTGCAAAACTCGGCCAACTGACAATCATTTGCCGACTGAGTGACTACGTGTCTACTAGACTCTTCGATTTGATAGACAAGCAAAAAAAAAAAGAAAAATACATGCAGGATGCGTATGGAGTAAAATGAAAACGCAAAAAGTTTTGAAGACATGTTAAAGTTTTTAAAAGTAGAAAAGCAGCAGAAAAAATTAAAACAAATTACATTCAGAATGATTGGTTGTGTACATTGACATTGTAACGTTTTATTAAAATCTTTGAGAAAAATTGCATAGTTACTAAAATTAATTAAAATTTAGTGCTAATCTTTCTATTGAAAATATTTTAAAATAAAAGCTCTTAAACCAGAAACTCCTAAATATGTTATGTAATAATTTTTTTCACTGGATAATTAAAATACAATAAATAGTTTTTAAAATATTGCCTACATTTAGGCACAACATCACGCACATATTAGCAAACCACTTTTTATGATATATGATTTTACATGAAGAAAAGTAATATCTTCTCGTGCAATAAGGATAATATATTGGAATGTCCTAAAAAGTTTTGAAATGCCAACCATTGTATGCTGAAGAGCATAGAAAATCTTGGTTCATCAAAAAGATCATTAGGCTGTTTTTTACAAAACAAAAAGTAGATATATATATATATATATATATATATATTCACAGTTATTGATAACTCCAACATTATGTAATATTTTCCTTGTTCCATTTGAAGCAACTAATGTAAGAAGTTCGGTGGAAAGCAAGGATTCCTTATGTATCCACAGATAACATAAAAGAAATCAAATATTATTGCCTACATTTAGGCTTGAAACTACATTTACATAGGAAAATTTGTTCAAATAGAGAAACATATTTCTTTTAGTTGTGTGAGGAGAAATCAAAGTTAAAGTGGTAACCAACATGGATTATACTTAAGTTTTTATATTATATGTTATTGGCGCTTTGTAATCGCTCAAACGATTTGCTGCAGAGACACTTCTCCAAATTGTAGATTTTCGTCTTGTCGTTTTTCCAACCTCCAACCGTCCTCTGTACGGCTGATTGTTTTTTATAAAGAGCTTCTATTTCATGTCAGAAATACTCTCTCTCCTGATTGGATAAAAAAAAAACAATATGAAATATTTTTTGTTATCAAACAAAGATTCACTGCTGATACCCAAAACTATGCGAACCTTTGCAATAAAACGCAGAATCATTTTTGCGAACATATGCTACTTTGAACTGAGTAGCCGACTGAGCAGCAAAACGTTCTCTTGAAAAACAAGAACCAAACTCTACAAGTAGTTTATAATTTCCGTCCTGCTTTAAGCTTCACAATTGCCGAGAATACCGCAGTGACTAAAACGAAAATGACTCCGCTGGCGAAATTTTGTCGGACGCGATAACACGCCAGCTTTAGAAGTATCTGTATAGCTCTTTAAAAGTTCTGAAAAAAGAAAAATTTTCAGTCCGTTGAAAAAATCAGCTATAGAAACCGTGCGTAAATCGGTGACTTCCTTAAAGAAAAGTATAGGGAAATAGAAAGGCTACAGAATATTAGACAGAAAATGGCAGCAGTTATGTCGTAAATGAGGTGTAAGATTTTTAGCATATTTTCAGCAATGCGTGAAAAATCGAATTTGGTTGCCTACATTTAGGTACTCGAATCATAGCTTAGTAAAGCCGCATACCTTTGGCAATTTGTTTTCACAATTTCACTTTTAACGTTCTTTTGTGAACAAATTAATAATTTAAATAAATTTAAGTGCCATAATGAGTAAGAGAGTCAATTATTGTAAAACTTAATAAAAAAAGCTGTACAATGAAGTAAAAAAAACGAGCACGAAACATTTAAAAATTTAATATATTCAATTTAAAATCTATATAAAATATTTTTTTTAAAGTTTCTTTCTTAGCCTTAATTTACTCTTCTCTTTATATCCTTAATCTAAGCTGCTGTTTTCAAAATGACTCTGTTGGGAGCACTAAAAACTAACGAGACAAAAATGCGACCATTTCTAATTTTGATGGTATGATAAATGATCTTAACCGAATATCATAAAGAATTTCAAAAGTAAAAGAGATGACATGTGCTTGCTTTAAAAAATTATATTAAAGCAGTTTAGTTGCAACAAAGCTTATTTTTGTATAATAAGATGATGGTAGTTTTTTATATCAACATTTCGTTTTTACAAGTTCATGCATTTGCGTCAAAAGTGAAAATATCTCTTCTTTAAAAGGTTTGTTTAACACTGTTGATACTGAAAGCATCAAATATATATAAAATATATTTGAGCAAACTGAAATTTACGTACTGAAGCACTTCCGCTAATCTCTTCCCGTTCACCAATTCCTCAAGCACAAATATTTCGCTGCAGAGAAATGTATGTCTGTACATTTGTTCATCTTAACGCCAGCTTTCCGCCACGCATTTACTTATATAGATGCACATATATTCCGAAACGATTACGACATCACAAAACTTGAAATAACAGCAAAACAATAAATGTAGAGGAACAGCAGCACTGCCAACACAAGCCAACTACAGTCACTGGCGCCAACCGTCTAGACAAAGTGGCGTCATGTACAAGCGTGTATATATGCATGTAATTTTTCATGTACCATATGCAGCTGCCTGACGCCATGCCAACTACAAACTAAACTACAATATGTACTTGCTGCAAAGTTATATCGTACATGAATAACGCTTAAATATATATTTTTTTTATTTATTTATTTTATTTTTGTCTTCACCGCAGTTACTTGGCAGTTTTATAAATGCAAAGATTTATTTTTACCTTTTTTAGATATTCAGCTATTTATTTGCCATTTTGTTTGGATTTGACTAGCAAGATTCGTTATACGCCTTTAACTATGATTGTCAATTTGTTCTTAGAATTACGACGCTCTAGATCCTCAACAAATTTCAACATCATTGGCTGTTAGTAAAAAATGTTACGTATACGCCATGTACCGCTGACGCCTTATGCGCACTTAAAAAGTTGTTAAAGTCATAATATATGACAACCAGGTGTTTCATTTCACACGCCAAACAATCACTTAGCTATTTGCTTATATATACAAACACACTTTATTATTTGTGCAAAAATAACTTTCTTTGATTTTGACGATTTTATTAGTTGACTATCCTGCCCTCACCGTTTAAATAGCACATTTTCACACGCCCACTGAAGCATTTTATTTCTATTTTTATATGGTAATTTCAGTCATTTGAGGCATTTATGCTATGTTGGAATATATTTACATACAATTGTTTGTATATAAATGACATTTAAGTAGATTTCCTTTACATTTAACTCTATTGAATTCGCCTTAAGTGGTATTAGGCGGATTTATTCTTAGATAAACATATCTTTTATGACGATTTTGAGTATACACACCTACATAGATTTAAATGATAAACTCACTTTTCGACACCTATGCAGTGTCTTTTTCTCTTGAAAAAATATTATTTTGCAAAGCAAGTGGAAACGTAAAGGATATTGAGTAAATTTAAAAAGTTTGTATGTTTATTACAAGGGTTTTTTTCTGGAAAGTTATTTTGCTTATTTGTTTTTGATATGATTTTCTTAAGGAACATTGCGCTCCAAATATTTTTGCAGTTGATTTTATTTTAGATTTGGGTAGGTTTTTTTTTTTTTTAAACTTTTGATTTTCTGGATTTCAAAACCTACATTTTTATATTGAAGAAAGTGTTAACTTCAGTGTTCAGTTTGCTTTTCTTCTTGAATCACCCATATATATAATACAAACATATAAATATATTTTTTATTTGCCCAAAATCCTTCCATGTACCCGCCATAGTTATTTGTGTATAAATCGACAAAGAGAAATCCGTTTTCAAATTATTTTCCACTGTGAATGGCAGCTGCCAGTTATGTCATGTATCGGATTTTTTTACGGTCAAGCCAAAAATACAAAATACAATTGGCGGGCGATTTCCCCGCTGTATTGCCGCCCACCAGAACTTTAACGCTACAAACACACACACACAGTTAATCTACAGCAAACCATTATTCAATTCAATTCTCCACCACATGTCTGCTTAACTGGATCAATACCAGGCGTTGCCAAAAGGATATCAAATTGCGCGCCAATACGTTTCACGAACATGACATTTGGCCATAAAATGCATTTATTGTTGAAAAACAACCGTGAGAAAAGCTCAAAGGAACAGGAAAAAATATAAAAGTTATGACAGGTATATAAAAGAAAAGAAAAAGGTTGTTTGAAAAAAAATTACTATAAAAGTT